TTGTTTGTAGTTTTTCTTTTGCGTTTTGTGCTGCTGTGACCTCTTTGGACATCGCAGTCTGTTGCTGAGTTTGTTGATGCAACGAATGCTAAGACTTTGTGTGGCATTGTTTGTGCTGGCGGTTCTGGTATTTTGCCTTTATGGCTTATTGGCGTTTTATTTCTGTTTTTGTTGCTTGCTTTTGCTTGTTGTTGCCACTTTCTGCGCACTTATCCTTTGTTGTACACTCCGCCTTGCATGGTGATGACTTCATTAGCGTTTGTGGCTTGGCAGTTCTTAATATTTCACTGCGCGCTTTTCTCATTGCAACTTGCAACACCAGGTTGCTAGGTGCTACAATGCAGGTAAATTACTACTAATTTCTTTTGGAACTGAAGTTCTTCTGTTACGCTTCTGCCTTTCAGGCTACCCACTCCTTCTTCCACTTCTTTAGTAAGTTTGCTCGCTGGAGCTTCAGCTGTCGTCCTTTGCTGTGTTGGTGCCCCTCTTTGCTGACGTTCGTGGCCCACCGTTCTGTTTATTTGTATCTCTTGCGTATTTCAGGTGGAAACTGCACTTCTTCCCATGTCCTAGCAGTCGCTGCTTATTAGTTTGGATTTCAAGCTACCACAACTGTTGGTTACCGTGTTTACTCTTTTGCTTAAGTCCTGCCTTTTTTATTTGTCGCTCATCCCTGTCTACGTTTATTGTGTGCCACAGGCGACTGTCACTCGTTGGCTTCTTAATCATGAAATGTTGAAAAGATTTATCAACAAGCCAAAGTTGCTGGGTTGGATGAAAGAAAATATGAGCAGACGCTTTTTGTGCGGCAGTGATTGAGTTCACATTAAATTAAGAAAGGATTATGGGAAGCGTTTTCTTCCATGACAAATAAATCTCTGGGAAATGTACATACATAAATATGTACATCTATAGGTATTTTAATCTACATTTTCATTTTATTCGTAAAAACACACCAGTTTAAAATGAAAGCACAAAGAACTATTTTCGAATCACACGCATACATACATATACATATCTCACGAGTGGTTGTTTTAGTGTCACTTCCTTCTCTCGCCAGAGAAAAAAAAAACGGTAAAGCATTCTTCTTGCATATTTCAATCAACGGAGTTCCAGAAGAAAATAAAAACTAATTCAAGTATTTAAACAATTTTAGCCTTAAAACGTTTATTCAGGCGAAAGAGTAATTACTTTGGAGAGTTTTCATACAAAATGTTCATTAGGGTGCTCCTTAAAGAATCAAATGAACTATTTTTTTCAATCTCACTGTAGGGTAATTTACCTGTATGTTTTTATACTTGTTTAAATTCTTGATGTTCAATTTATGGTTTAATGAATTTGTTTGTTATTAAAAAGAAAATGTTTGATTATGCAATAAATAAACTTTCAACGAGATAAAAAAAGGAAATACAATTTTTATTAAAATATCATATCTTGATATACTCACCTCCTCAATCGGTAAAACCACGGTCACAGATATCATATATAAATTTTGGTCCCGATTGAATTCGGTTAAGGTGTGTCGCACAGGGGGCAAAGTACAGATGCCTTTATAGAGACTCAAAAAATAAAAATTATTATTTCATTCGATACCACTAAAGTAGAGGATATCATATATAAATTTTGGTCCCGATTGGAGTCAGTTAAGAAGTGTTCATAGGGCAATCTGAACTTTGACCCCTGAGCGACACGCCTTAACCGACTTCAAGCGGGACAAAAATTCTCATGTGACATCTTCGACTCTGGTAGTATAGAGTTTGGGTATTAGATGAAAAAAAAAAAAAAGTAATTTTTAAGTCTCCATAGAGGAATTTGTGCTTTGCCTTCTGTGCCACATAGACTCGAAATGCCCAAAATTCTTTTATTTTGTTCGGACTAAATAACAGTGTTTCGTTGAAACTCATTAAATTTGTGCTTTTTTCGTACTTAGTATTTAGTGCTGTGAAAATAAGTAAATATGCTTAGTTATAGTATTTAGCACAAATTGAAGTACTTAGGGTAGGTAAGTACCTACTATCACAATCAGTATTTAGCATCATCCAAAATACTTACGCGAATAGTACTTTGGTATTTACTAGTGCATAAATACATATGGGCCTAAATGCTTTTGTAATTGTGGCCATAATATTGCGCTAAGCCTTACAATTAAAGTTTCAACTTCTTCAAATTTTGTATCCTATACGTTTCATTTAATCCGTTCATTCCCTTCCGTAACCCTTGTGATTGCCTACTCTTCCCTAACCAATTAATTAATTCAACATTATAGTAATAACTTTCATACGCTCAATACAACAAATTTTCTCTTACGCCCCAAAAGTATGCAATTATTATGTTTCCCTAAAGAAGTACATACAGAAAAAAATGTAAAAGCACTCGGCTATTAATTTCAGCAGAATAATTGCGGTGATCAACGTGAGAAATGGTACAACTGTTGCACAAGAGACAAAAAAAAAAAACAAAAAAGAAGAGTTGAAAGAAAAGTAAGAAGAAGGCGTATAAGAATAAAATAAACTAAAACACGAAGTAAGCAGAAGCAGAAAAGCGCAGAAATTAAATTAAATCAGAACGAGAAAAGTGAAAGGGATTACAAAGAAGAAATTGACGCAAGTAGCAACACAAGAAGCTGTCAGAGAAATAGAAGGAAGAGGAAGAGTATAGACGCTTAAAAAATTGCTTACAGCAAAAGAAAGAAACAACAAATAGCAGCAGCAATGTAATGAAATAATTTTGTGTTAAGCCACTACTTGAAGGAGAAAAATGTGCCAGCCGAAAGCGGGAAAATACAAAAAAAAAAAAAAAACAACAACAAAAAGAATAAGCTGAAATTGCAAGAAATGCCAATTGTGTGCATTAAGCGATTTTTTATTTACTTTATTTTTTTTCATTTCTTATTTTATTTTTGAGCAAGGCGCACGAAGGGACGTAGACTGAGTCAAGGAAAGACGTCTATGTAATATGAAAAAAAAAAAACACCAAAGTAAATGTTGAATTGCTGCTGCTGCTCCTGCAGCTGGTAGCTAAGCTTGTGGGCGTGTTCGTGCATCAAAGGCAATAGTGCGGAAGTAAGCAGTGAATAACTACTGCCAAGACAGTTGCATTGTCCGGCTGAGCACATCCGCTCGCCAGCTGGCTGTTCAACTGTTCAACTCTATGCCATTCGGCTAGCAATACAAGTCCACCAGCGCCGCTGTTGTCCAGCAAACGTTGCATCGTTTTTAGTTTTACTCTTTTTTTTTTTTGCTTTCCAAAAGCATCAGAAGGCATTGCTTCAATGATATCTCGCAGCGCCTGCGCCTGACTCAGCTTGTTGTGGCAGCTGTGACCATTGTATTTATTATTGTATATGTATTGGTGTTTTATGTATGTACATAAGTTGTATGTATTTTGTGATTTTTGTTGCTTTACCTTTTTCTGTGGGTTTTCATTGCAAACAATATTATACAAAAGACTTGAGTACTTAATAGTACTTAAAGGATATCAGTGTGCGCACAGTTGGCAAGTAGATGCGCTGCGACGCTTGTCCTTGTCCGAGCTCAGCTCTCCTTCTTCTGATGCTATTGTTGCAGTTTTGTTGTTTTATTTTATTTTATTTAGTGATTTTTATTTTATGCTTTGTTTGCTACGTCCACTGTTGTTGTGAGTGTTTTACACAAAATGCACAACTGACAATTGCTCATAATTGTCTGTTCGTACGCATAGTTGAAGAGTTTGTATGTAGTTGTCTATATCCGTGCATTTCACGCAGCTGTTGCTAACGCCCACTGCCCACTGCCTCCTCAATCCTCAATCGCTATCTCCGCTTTGCTATACTAGTTCTTCCCTTCTACTAAATCTCTACGAATCACAAATTGACAAGTATTTCTTTTTAAAAATTTTTTATTTTTCACCACGTCTATTTATTTATATTTTATTGTCATATTTATGAAATATTTTTGCTATGCTTGCCGCATATCCTATTACATTATCTTGCTTTACGTTTTCTGTTATCCGCTTACACACGCATCTAGTTGCAACAGCAGTGGCTTAGCTCTGTGCTACGTGACGCATCGACCCACAGTGGGTGACTATTTCCTGCAAGTCACCACTGTTGGGGAGTGTAACCATTTTAATGTGCTCATATTCGTGACTATATATGTATGTATGTATTTACGTGCACGACTACTTATTATCAACTTATCTTTATTTAATGCTCATTAAAGTAATAATTTAAAAGTTAATCTGTGATGATCAGCATGTAGATACATACATATATGTTTATCAGAACAATATTAGCTATCTAATTCTTTCTGGCTTTTGGGCTTACCTGGCGTATGAGTAATCTACAAATGTCGGATTTAATTTATATATTCATTTTGGTAACCTCCCACTTGCGAACACTACATGGCAGTCCGAGCAGGTCTCAACTGCAATGCTCAAACATAGGGGTTGTGTCAAAGCCAATGATTTCGAAAAAGTAAAATTTTGAAAAAAAATAAAAAATAGAGCTGTTCTGAATAGGTTTTCAATAGTTCTAGAGCTCCTAAAAAGGAAACAAAAGGTTATGTAAAATTACGCCGAAAAAACTTTTTTTTCTCAAAATAGTAGAAAAATTAAGTTTTGAAAAAAAAAAAATAAAACTTAAACTATTCTGAGTAGCTTTTCAATAGTTCAATAGTTCCTGAAACGAAAAAAAAGTTCTACAAAACAACGCAAAAAAAAAAACATTTATTTTAATAACAAGTCAAAAAAGGAAATTTTTTGAATAAATATTAAAACTAAATCTGTTCTTAATGTTTCTAAAATACAACTAGCAATTGTCCGCCTAGCCTAGCGGTGCCTGATAAGAGCATTAGCGTTGGCCAATGCAAAATTATTATGGTAAGGTACAAATTTTTAATTTAAGTTGGAACGACTAAAGAGCAGAACTCTCACAGTATAACAGAGCTCTGATACAATACCGCTAACTTAGAGTGCAAAGTTGCTAAGTCCCAATTCAAAAATTGTACAGTAGAGCCATTTTCTTCAAGTATTTCGCAAAACATTGAATATGACATTCCGCCTTTTTAAAGTAAAGCAAAACTACATAAGAATCAGAGGGATTCGACCTTTATTAAAAGATTTCGAACTTTCTTTTCATTGAATATAAACGAGAAAATATAAAGCAAGGACCTGAAGCCTTTTCGAAACGATGCATTTTGAATTTATCTAGCCTTCTGTATTAAAATATACGTTTTCGTTCATTGCATAAATGTGCTGTGTGATCTGTTAAATATCGTTCAACTGGATTTTCTTGGAAGGATGTGATCGAATATTTTCTTGCTAATTCGTCACTTTTGCAAATCGTCTTAATATGCAGGCGTCTAAGCACCTTTATATATTTTTTAGATTCCAAAAATCTGAGCTATCTCAATCAGAGTTATTCGGCATAAGGTAAGGGAATTTTAATTGCCTGTGAGCGACGGTAAAGTTTTGAGGTCCGTCTGACTCTCACAGAAAACTAGTTTGGTCTCTCTAGGGCTCTGAGCGAGATTCCATGCAGCCTCCTGACTAGGTAAATATTAAAGTTTTGAAATATCACAGCTAAACGGCCGAACGCGTAAACTTAATTTTGCATTCTAGATTTCGATGGCGTTTTTAGAAAATTAAAAATTAAAAAATAAAAAAACAACAGATTTTTTGTAAATATTTTTTTTCTTTAAAGCAGGTTCTTTTTCGAAAAAACGAGCTACTACCGAAGAAAATTTATGGATAAATAAAACAGTGGTATACAGTCAGATGAACCTTTTTCCAAAATTTAAAATGATATTCAAAAGGACAGATGAAACGGCACATAAATATTTGCCGGTATAAGAAGTGTATTTATATGTTAGACTTAACATATTCTCCTTGTCAAACATCTTAATTGTATGATAAAATCTCAAAAACTTACTTCTCTAAATTATTAAACGCGGATATGTGGGCTGAGAAAATGTTACTCATACGCCATGTACCACGAGTATGTATGCCATGTGAAAATGTCGGCCTTTCTGCTCATATTTCATAAAAAAAATGAATGCGCATTTTCAATTGCCTATTCACCATTTCTATTATTTATCCACCGATTTTTCGATAGTACCTGGAAAAATATTAATTTTTCGCCCCCTGCTAAAAGTTCATATTTTGAAATAAAATTTCCACACTAAATATCGCAAAATTTTGATGGGATATGGATTCTCTGAAAACGGTAACGTAATCTATAGACCAAAATTAATACCGCTAGGCACTGAAATGACGAAAATAAAAAAACTTTTTTCTGTACAATTGTCCCATCCGTTATAAGGGGATACCCCAGTTTTAATTGTAATTTATATTTATTACTGCATTCAATTTCATACCTGCATATGAAATAAAAAAATTAAAATTTATTTTTTTTCTTTCTACTTTCAGGTATGTATGAAACGCTCGTACAGTAAATTAATCTCTTAACTTTGAACTGTAAAAGTTTACCCCAATTATGCCAGTCTATGCGGCTGACGGTTAAAATTTAGTCACCAAAGTCGTCGGGTAAGTGTGGTATCAAATTCAAAAATAAAAATTCATACAAAACACTTATGGGTAAATTGTGCTTACCTTTTTGCAGCAACAACTCTTGCTCAACCGCCCACAATAACGCACATTCAGCATAGCATTAAAAATTTTCAAAGGTCTCAATAACACACACAGTGGCTCATACAAACAAAACACAAATTGCTTCAGTTGCTCGACATACTCGTAGTTAGTTAGTTTTTTTTTATAATATTTTTTTGACTCAAACTTTCTTGCTTTTTTGGTGTTTCATTTTCGTATATATTTTTAATTGTGTTGAAAGAGAAAAAAAAAAAATTATGGAATCAAAACGTGCTTAAAAACCGCTGCAAGTATGAGTAGGGACCTACATGTATTTTCATGAGAGTGTGAGTTGCGGTAAAAGAAACCACAAATTACTCTGAAAGTTGCTGAATGTCTGCCATGAAAGTTGATACTTTTTCAATGTGGAGTCGATGAAGGAATACACTGATACATACATATGTACATACATACATAGGTATGGACGTAGACATATTTTTGTATTCATACTATAAAGGTTTATTAAAAACGTATGAATAACTGCAGCATAATCTTCGTCACGTGCTGATATGAACAACATTATTTACTTACATACATATGTATGTATATTGCAGCAAAGTGCTGAGTTCATATAGAAGAAAAAAAAATAGAAACATTTAAGTTTTTTAAATTTGTAAATTCCGAAATCATTTTCATTGCAAAAGTTCCAAAATCTACCAGTAATTTCTAAAATACTTGGTTGAAGATAATATGAGTTCGTCCAGGTCAGCTAGGGAACAGATTACCTAGAAGGGATGAACGATCGCCTGTCTAGAGCAGTGTCTGAGGTCTACATGCGGGCTTGGGTTCCAAAGGCGGTCCAAGGGAAGGCCAAACCCCCATTCTTGGTGCCCAAACCTTTTCACTTTTAGGAAACGGGTGAGAGAAAATGTTGAACTAGCAAATCTACTTACACAAAGCAAAGTTGGTAGGCGCCGCTCGACACAATGTCGTTACACCATGTTGGACTTGAGAATGAAGAATTCAGATTGAGGGTTTTTTTGGATGTAGTTGGTGACCTTAGCATTGTCTCAAAGTAAATCATTTTAGATGAAGTAATGGCAACAGGTGCCCACTCTGCGATTTCGAACTGGAGACCTTTAGGCCAGTCAACAGAGGCACTAAACTTGGTGCTTATTCAGGTGACGTCTCCGCCATAGTAAGCTGGAAATTGTGGCAGAAATGTAGCAGAAAACAAATCTTGAAACAGTAGAGAAATTATATATTTTTCATCAGCATCACAGGGTCACTTATTCAGAACCGATGATGGTCAAGAAAAATTCATAACTGCTGCCAGGCTTTACAGCGCAATTCTGGCAATTGTCTTTCAACTCACCACAGTCAATTCTAGCAACTATCCCGAAATCCCTTTTCTGTCTTTCGAAAGACTAATTGAAAGATCTGCTAACGAGGAAAATAATCACGTTATTCTGTTCCTCTTTTTCCAAAAAGTTTTGTTAAAATCAAATAAAGGACTAACAGCAAATAAAATTTAAAATAGGAGAAAAATAATATAAATAGGAGAAAATAAATAACGTACATTTCTAAAGATTTAATGAAATTTAAAAGTTATAGTTTTCTTTCTAGAACAGTAAAATTTCAACGAAAGCTAAAGTAAAAAAGAAACAAATTATATTTAAAAAAGAAGCTAATAAAATAAGTTGCAAAAATTAAAAAAAAAAAAAAATCTTTTTAAAACAGTAAAATCTAAAAACTAAAATAAAGTGAAACTAAAAAAATAAATTAGATTTCTTAAAACTGAATTCATAAAAAGAAAATAAAAGATTAAAAAATATAGTCTAAAAAAACTAAAAAACACGCTTTTAAAGCATATCAAACTAAAAAGTAAAAAAAAAAATTCTTAATATAAGTTGAAAATAATAATGAACAAAAAATACTAGTATTATTGTCAAAAAGCGTGGGGCGCTCTTTGCCATATTTTTCGTCTATCGAGCAACCCACACTTTTTCACAATAATTATTATTTTCAACTTATATCAATCATTATTATTTTCAACTTATATTCAGAATTATTTTTTACTTTTTAGCTTGATATGCTTTAAAAGCGTGTTTTTTAGTTTTTTTAAACTATATTTATTTTTAATTTTTTAGTTCGATTTATTGTTAAAAATAAAATTTTTTCTAAATGCTCGAGTGATCGAGCCGGAAAGTAAGTAGACGGTACGCATGCGCAGACAGCGTGGTTGTCTTACTTGCTCTCACACAGAGGCTGTGTAAGGAAATTATTTAATCTGGCGATCCTAATCAGGATAATGAGATAAACTTATTAAATTATTATATTGTCACTGATTCTTGATAAGTGTACAAAGTTTGAATTAAATCTGTCCGTTTAAAGTGGGTCAAAATCGAGTCCAAAGGAGTCGGTTACAAACATACATACATACAAACATATAGGTGAAGCTAATAAAAGGGTGTTAAAAAAAGAAATAAATCACATAATTTACCAAAAAGTAAATGAAATAAAAAAGTGCATATGTTTATTTTTAAACCAATAAAATCTAAAAGCTAAAAAGTATAATTTAAAATAAATTAAAAAATTAAGTTTCCAAAATTAAAAAAAAATATAATAATTTAAAAATGCAAACAAATATAAAGAAATTTTTAGCAAAATAAGTTTCCAAAAACTAAAAGGATATTAAAAAGAAAAAAATATATAAAATATGTTTATAAAAAGTAATGATATTAAATAAATAATGTATTTTTTTTTTAAACAATAAAAGCTAAGAATTAAAGCTAGTGAAAGTTAGAACAGAAAAAATTAAAAAATTATAAAAAACGAATAAATATGTTTTTCAAAGTTAAATGAAATAAAAGAATATATATTTATTTTCAAACCAAAAACTTTAGATATTGAAAAAGAATTAAATAAAAAATTAAATAAGTTGCTAAAAATCAAATATATATAATAAAAAAAGAACATTTTCAAATCAATATAATCTAAAGACTAAAAGAAAAAAATTAACAAAATAATTTACAGAAAATGAAAACAGTGAAATCTTAAAACTAATAAAAAAATAAATAAAAAGTGAAAAGAGTGGGTAAAAAAATATGCCGCCCGAGTTTTCAAACCCTTGATCTCTCGAATAGCACGCCAAAGGTATTTTGCCTGAAATATGTATGTCCTTCACTTCTACTATTGCTGGCCTTGCTTGTCACCACCTGTCGCGCCTGGCGAAAGGACTGTTATCAGGTTAGTCCCAATTAAAAATAGATTACATCACGATAACTGAAAACCGGTTAAATACCTTACTTTTAATACTTATGTATAGAACACGAAAAGGCAAACTTCATCATTTACGAAAAAAGTAATGTAAAGATACCAAAAGTTAAATGTATTTAGTATTAAAGATTGGGAACTTGTGTAACGAGTTTTTCTCTTGTATGAAAAAAATTAAAAATGTCTTGATATAAATTATTCCGCTCAACTTTGTGTAAAAATTCAAAAAAAAAAATAAATAAAATGCATGAGTATGTATGTAAGTATG